CGTTCCATTCTCAAAGCCATCGCTTCCAGCAGTAAAACGGTACAATAAGAAGCGGACACTGCCGGCAAAGCTGCGCATGGAGAAGCGATTTAAAAACAAAGAAAAATTACTCAGGAAGAAGTTAGCTAAAAAAGGAATAGTTTATAATTTTCCATCATTGGTAAATATTCTTTTATGAAACGTTGTTATTTGTGGGAGGGATGGTACTTAAGACCATTGGCTGTGTTCTGGGGAGGCTTCACCAGTGATGTGTTTGAGGCTGTGACGGTGAGTGAAATAGAAGTAGAGATGTGAGACCACAAGTTTGTCATTTCTTTATGTTTGTTTAAGATTTTACCGAAAAAGAAAAAAGGAAAAGTTTCAAAAGCAGATCTTCAGAACTCGACCAATAGCCAGGTAAAATTATATTTATCATATTACATGCTAGGTATTAGAGACAGATAAATAGTCAAATGTATTCAAGAAAACTGTCGCTGATAAATGTGCGCGTTTGTAGTATCTTTTAAAATTCACTTAAGATTTTGCCTATGATGATGAGAAGACTGAACAGCCAGGTAGAATTGTCTCCATTATTCTGGGCACCAGGTATAGACATAATCTGGAAAACGAAAAGCAGTTTCAAAGCTATTATCACTTCGTTAAAATTTCAGGTGTAATCTTGAAAGGTTTTCGGTAAATCCTTGCTGGTGGTTTACTGGATATAGAGACCTTAGCAAAGGTTATCATGAGTTTGTTGTCATTTTATCTTTTTAGCAGAGGGAAATGAGACCTGCCACTATTTTTATAAATGTAAGATGAGAATTTTCCAGCCAAAAACCTATAATGGAGCATATTCATATCCCAGTTGATTTAGAATTTCCATACAAAGTTTGATACGCGTCTAAGCTCTTTATTAGTGTGATTGCAACACCAAAACATAGACTTAGGCCTCAAATAGCTCAGCAGAGCTTGTGAAAGCAGAAGGGAGGTGGGATTTCTGGATTGTCATTCCTAGTATCTCCCCACATGTATGTGCTGTGTGTAATCTTCTGCTTGTTGAATCCAGGGCTCCACACCAGTTTGTACACCAACATTTTTGGAGAAGAGAAAGTCTGAAGTGGCTAAAATGAATGATGATGATGAAGACAATGAAATCACTTTCAAACAGCCTGTAGTTGGTGTAAGAGCAGAAATACAAGAGACTCAAACACCTACCCGTTCAGGGAAAAGAAGGAGAAGAAAAAGCAAACAGTGATTCTGAATGTATTTTATTATTAGGACTGACTCTTTAGATCTTACTAGGTGCAGTGATAACGCAGACCTTGGCACAATTTTTGGAAGAAAAACGTTGGTTAAAATAAAAGCAGTCAGTAATTCTGGCTTGCCTACCGTTGCTGAAATACAGGGAGTGTGCCGTGACCTGCTCCCCTACCTCTTTGCCATTAGTCTCCTCTCAGTTGCTTTGCGTGTTTCGAAGTTGTCCTTAGTTGCTGTTCAAACAGTGACGAGCAAGGGACTTCCTACCGTCATTTGTATGCAAGTGAAACAAGTAGGTTTTTGCCTTCTCAACTGTTGATGATGCCTTGAAACGTGCTTTTGTATTCGCTACTCTAAATATATAAGAACATTCACTGCTACCAAGCCTTCTTTCAGCCAGTAATTGATAAGTCTTTAATGTGCTAAAACATTGGACTAGATGTTCTGATACAGAATGCAGACAATTAATGTAGATAGCAGAGTAGACCCTTAGAATAATACCGAACATAGAAAATGTTCAGTGTGTGTTTGTTGACTGAATGGGTGCAGAGCTGCCTCCCTTTGTGAACCACCTCTAACCTTGGTGGGTCTGGATGTCCTTCAGTTATCCCTTCAGGGAGAGCAGGAGATGAGCATATCCACACACAAATATAATTCTGACGTGTTTGATTTCCCCAAACCATATCTTCCACAAACGTGATGTCTTTCTCCAGCAACTAGTCTTTCCTGATGATACGTTGAAAGCAAGCAGGTTGGACGGTGTTCTCTTGTAATCCGTAAGGTTTTCGTTGGTTAATTTTCAGAAGTACGTGGCCAGAATTTTCTTTCTAGTCTGTTTGCATCTAAAACCTGCCTAGCATGGGTGACCCCACTCATATTTGAAATAGTGGTGGCATAGCTTCCAGCATCGTAACAGTGCACAACCCACCCCAGTACAACAAACTGACAGACCAGGTGGTGGAATCAGGATAGGCTGTGGTGGCACAGCGATTAAGTGCTCGACTGCTAACCAAAAAGTCAGCAGTTCGACCCCATCGGCCACTCCGTGAGAGAAAAACGTGGCACTGTGCCTCCATAAAGATTTCAGCCTCGGAAACACTACGGGGCAGTCCTTCTCTGTCCTATAGGGTTCCTGTGCGTCGGAATCAGTGGCAACGGGTTTTTTGAGCTAGAATGATTTTGGCATATTTTAAATGGTTGGGAAAGGAAGAAAATATTTTGTGACAAAAATACAAAATTTAAATTTTAGTGTCCATAAATAAAGATTTGTTGGAACACAGCCACGCTTGTTTACATGTTATCTGTGGCACCTTTTGTACTACAGGAGTTTAGATGCGAATGAGCATGCGTGTGCTCACTGCTTAGCACTCCTGCTGGGTGCACTGCAGGCTGCAGTGCTGGTTACACTTCGGGACATTTTGAGTGCCACATTGTGGTACTGGGAATTTTACTTTTCATTACCACTGTGTACCTGTCATGTCAAAACAAGAAAAGTGGGACTTCAGATATTGCTTTTAAGGCACAGTGGAGTGTGGATTATTTTGTTACCAAGATATGATGGCAAAGCATTGTGTTTATTTTACAACACTCTAGCTGTGCTAAACAAATAGACAATATGTTAATATTACCATACTAAGCTCTTACCATATCCCCAGCTCACAGGAAAGCAGCAGAAGATTTAAAATGGAATATCATAACAGAATTTCCTCACAAAAATAAAAAGTGAAAATGAGGCCACAACCCAAGTATGTTTCCAGATGGCTATTTGTCAGCAAAACAAGGAAAGTCATTTACCAACAGTGAGTTAATTGTGTTTGATTACAGCAGCCAAAGAAATCTGTCCAAGAAAATAAACGTGTTAAGACTGTTAGCCTTTCTAAACAATCGCTTGAAGAGTTGGAGACGCTGGAAGCTACGTCAACAGTCAATATGAAAACATGGCAGATGATTTTGAATGGTTTTCCCTTGCTCTTGGTGAGCCAGCATGTTAATAGTACTCTGGTTTTATTTGAGAAGTCAGTGCCAAATTTGAAGTGTTCGGGTGACCAACTTTCCCGGTTTGCCCGAGACCTTTCTGGTTTTAGTACTGAAAGCCCCACGTTCTGGGAACCCCCTCAGACCCATGCAAACGGGGATAGTTAGTCATCCTAGAAATGATTAAGGAATTGGCATCTCTGAAAAGTCTGTCAATAGTTTTGACAAATTTACACTTGTCAGATGTTTAGGGCCTAGTATTGTGTTACCATCAGGAGCTTTTTAGAAAACGTTCAGATCTATCATTTGTTGTTGAACGAGTAGTGTCATTGGTTTCCTTGTTTTATTTTGTGGACTTAGTCATCATCTGGAAAACCTGGTGGTGTAGTGGTTAAGAGCTAAGGCTGCTAACCAAAAGGTCAGCAGTTCAAATCCACCAGGGGCTCCTTGGAAACTATGGGACAGTTCTACTATGTCCTATAGGGTCACTATGAGTTGGAATCAACTCAACGGCAATAGATTTAGCCATCATCAGCTCCGTGAATTTTGACAGAAATAGAAGCTGACTATCCTGATGTGCTACCACAAAGGAGTTTGAGGGCTCAGCAGTGGTGAAGTTTATTCAGATTCTGAGCTCAAGACAAAGGTTGAAAGTTTTCTGAATGAGAAGAACCTCCCTCAGTCACTATTACCCAACACTGAATGGCTTTGAAAGTTAGCTTTTGCTGCAGACTTGATAATGTTTCTTAATTACAACCAAAAATTATAAAACACTTAATATTTGAATTTATATGGTGGTAAAGTCATTTTCGTGACAACTGATGTTTGTATCTGAAGTAATGTCAGGCTATTTTATACACATCCTTTACTGTCAGAAGTTAAAACAGGCGTGAGCTCCATATCACACATTTGCAGCAGATGCATTTTCCAGGCTCAGGCTACATACGGCCCAGCAGTGTTTTCAGACCTTGATACTAGTGCAAAGGAATCTATTCAGCTAGGATGGTAAAGCTTCCACCTAACCTAACCTTCAACTGGACGGATTAATCTGCAGTGTAATGATATACTGAAAGGTAAAAATTTCAAGAGAATACTAATAGACTTCTACAGATGCCTTCCCAGTGAGGAATACATGCAGAGTCATCTGGGGATTGCTGTCAGTACTCGGCAGCACTTCTCTGGATGAAAAGACATTGCAAAAGAGGAAATACGTAAATCTTATTACAGATCAAGGAGCCCTGGGGCCAACCAAAAGGTCGGCAGTTCAGATCCACCAGGGGCTCCTTGGAAACTAGGGGCAGTTCTCCTCTGTCCTCTGGTGTCACTACGAGTCAGCAGCAACTCGATGGCAGCGGGTTTGGTTTTGGCTTGTTAGAGATCAACATAAATAGATGAACATTTGTAAATGGTTTTGATAGGAAATAACTAACTTCGCACCTTAGACAAAACTTAAAATGAATTAGACCTACAGGTAAAATATAAAGCTGAAAACAAAAATCGGTGACCCAGGGTGAGGCAAAGAGTTCTTGACACCAAAAGTGTGATCCATAAAAGACAAATGACACATTGGACTTAATTAAAATGTAAAACTTTGTTCTGTGAAAGACACTGTTCAGAGAATGAGGAGACAAACCACAGACTGAAATACTTGGCCAACAGCATATTGAGCAAAGGTGGTTTCTCTAGAGTAGACCTCAAACAGCTCACACTGTCAGAGGGAGCCCCACTCCTGCCTTCTGAGCCTATAACGGAAAGTGATACAGACTGTTTACAACACCTGTATTCACATTTAAGGACTCTGGCGTGATACGAGGCACGTGATAGTAATTAATATTTGTTAAATGAGTGTGTTAGGTAAACTAAGCAATTTAAATAGATGAACTCATTTAATCAAAACAGCACTATGAGGTAAATAGATATTACTATTCCTATCTAAAAGATGAGCAAGGTGAAACCCAAAGAATTTAGGTAACTTGCCCCCAGGATTGTGAGCCAGGACCTGGACAGTGACCGTGACTTCAGTGCCAACTGACTCAAGCCATGAAGGCTGCTGCTAACGGGGTGGGCATGAATACGAAACTGTTGGTGACTATGAAAAGCAAGGGTGCAAGAGACTTGCACTGACAAGACCTAATGAGCCTTTGGATTTCGGGGGGAAATGGTTTAGGGGACACATGGGAGAAGGAGGCAGATAAGATTTCCATCCTTTGGGGCTCAGCTTTGAATAACTGAGAGCAACGTAACACTAGGTGGCAGGAGAGCTCACGTACTGTATTTTTATGCAAATAACATGTGCCTTCCCCTTAGGAGGTATTTGGTGAGCGTGCTGTGCTAATTTTTTTTTTTTACAAAAAGTGGAAGAGGATTGGCAGGAGGGTGCCTCGCAGTGGGAGGGCATTATTTGGGTAAAAATATGGTACTAAAAATCCACAATCTGTTCATTTCATTATTAAAAGGATATATGCCCTAATGTTAACATATTTTTAAAAAGAAACCTCCCTCAGAACATACAATGTATATGATGCGTGTGTGTGGCTGTGTATATGTACATATATATAAGTTTGCATATACAGGTTGATGTGAATATATATATATATACTTATATACATACAGCACCAAGTTAGGTCTAGATAACTACAGGGCAGAAATTATTGCTGTCAAATGACTCTTAAGCAAATGAATGCTTAAAAAATGTCTTTTTGGTATTTGATGAATGTTAAAAAATGTTTTTGCAACTCACATTTAAAACGTGCTATACAGATACAGTAATCAAAATGGCCTGATACTGACATAACAATGTGGACACATAGACCAATGCAATAGAACTGAGAGTCCAGAAATAAACCCACACATCTATGCTCAACTGATTTTTCACAAGGGTGGTAAGTCCATCCAATAAATGATGCTTGGAAAATTGGATTTCCACAAGCAGAAAAATGAAACAGGATCTGTGCCTCACACCATACACAAAAAAAATTGAAAATGAATTAAGGACCTAAATGTGCAAACTAAAACCATAAAATTCTTAGAAGAAAAATGCAAAGGCAATGTTGTCAGGCCTAGCTTTCAACAATGGATTATCTAATATAATAAAAGCCTAAATAGCAAAAGACATAAATGAGACTTTATAAAAATGAAAAACTTTTGGTCATCAGAAGACTACCAAAAAACTGAAAGGCTACTGACTGGGAGAATATCTTCAGAAACCATATATCTGACAAGAATCTAATAACCAAAATGTATATAAAACTTCGGCAACTTAACAACAAAAAGATAAATCATAAAATGGGCAAAGAACTCGCATAGACTTTTCACCAAATAGGACTTTCACATGATCACCAAACCCATGAAAAGATGATCGGAGTCATTAGCCATCAGAGAGATGCAAATCAAAACCACCATGGGATACCTATCACTCCAACTAGGATGGCTAAGATGAAAAACAGGAAATAACACATGTTCGTGAGGATGGGGGAAATTGGAACGTTACCCGTGGGAATGCAAAATGGTACAGCTGTTGTGGAAAACAGTGTGGCAGTTCCTCAAAAAACTGAAAACTATCGTATGACCCAGCAATTCCACTCCTAGGTATCTACCCAAAAGACGTGAAAAGCAGAAAAACAGACACTTGTCCACCAGTGTTCATTGCAACACTATTCATAATAACCAAAAGGTAGAAACAAGCTAAATGTCCATCAGCTGATGAATGAATAAACAAAATGTGCTACATAAATCCAATAGAATACTACCTAGCCAGTAGGAGAAATGAAGTCTTGATACATGCTAAAATATAGATGGAGCTGGAAAACATTATGCTGAGTGAAATAATCACGAAAGGACAAATACTGTATGACCTCATTTATATAAAAAACAAGAAAAGAAAATGTATAGGGACCAAAGTTTATTAGTGGTTACCAGGGGTAAGAGACGGTAAAGAGGGGAGTTAACAGTGACATCACATTGATTAAGGGTAGGGGTACACAGCCAATTATTGTGACTGCTGTCAATAAGTTGTAAACCTGTAAAAAGTTGAATTGGCAAAAGTGTGATAGATATACTTACAACAATGACAAAAGAGTAACTGCTGAGGCTGATTATGTACAACCAAACACCTCATGGGATTTGATTTCTTGATTTGGAGGTTTAGGGTCATGGTTCCATGGGACATCCCAGTTAATTGGCCTAATAACATGTTTAATGCTTCTGTTGTACCTCTTAGTTTGATATGTAGTGCCTGTGGTCTTAAATAAGCTTGCTAGAGGCCATCCAAGGCACAACAATTGGTCCGTATTCACCTGGAACAGCAGAGGAAGGAGAGTCAGGAATAGGAGGAGGATATGGAATGCACGGCTAATTGCCTGCATAAACAACTGCCTCCTTTGCAGTAAGACCAGAAGAACTGGATGGTGCCCAGCTACCATTACTGAACATTTTGATCAAAGATTCCTTAGAAGAATCCTGATCAAAAGGGGGAAAATGTAGAATACAATTTCAAATATTCATGGACTCCAGACTTCCTGGGGCCATGGATGCTGGATGAATCCCTGAAATTATTGCTCTGAGATAATCTTTAAACCTTAAACCAAAAATATCCCCTGAAGTCTTCTTAAAACCAAACAATATTTTAGCTTAACTAGTAAAAAATGTCTGCCTTGAACATTATGCTCTTTGAAGAACTATCTATATGGGATCAGACTGACAACAGCAACTTGAGAGATTAGGTAGGAATCTTAGGGGGCAGTGAAT